CCTAACGCCACGTAGCTGGCCGCTCGAAGGGGTCGAAAGGCTCCTCCTCCTCCTCGTCCTCCTCCTCCTCCTCCTCCTCCTCCTCCTCCTCCTCCTCCTCCTTCCTCCTCCTCCTCCTCCTCCTCCTCCCCCCCGCCTCCTCCTCCTCGTCCTCTCCTCCTCCTCTCCTCCTCCTCACTCCCCCCCTCCTCCTCTCCTCCTCCTCCTCCTCCTCCTCCTCTCCTCCGCCTCCTCCGCCTCCTCCTCTCCTCCTTCCTCCTCCTCCTCCTCTCCTCCCTAATCCTCCTGTCCACATCGCACCCAGAGCGCTCGGGGGGAGCGTCCGGGGGGAGCGGTCCGGGGGCGGGGGGGGGGGCGTTCGGGGGGGAGCGCTCGGGGGGAAGTGGCGGCACATCGCCGCTGGAGCGGCGGGAGGCCCCCCGCTGGCGAGTGCGCACGCTCCCATTGGCGGGGCCGGCGATCGGGCCCCCCGCGGCGGGGAAGGGGCGACTGCAGCCGACGCCCTAACGCTGCCCCCCGCCTCTCGCGCCGGCAGGGAGAGACGGCCGCAAGGCAGCGCCAGCCGCCGCCGCCGCCGCCGCGAGCGGGTCCCCTCGCGACGGCGGCGGCGGCGGCGAGGACGGCGATCACCAGGAAGGAAGCGGGCCCTCGGAGCAACTGGCGCGAGAGCAGCGTCATGACGCGATCGGCTCCAGAGGCGGTTCCAGAAGACTGCAGCTTCTGGCGGCCCTCCGCCACTCGTGCTCGGCCATGCGTCTCAGGCCGCGCCGGACAGCTGGAGAACCTGGAGCTCTTGGAGCGCACCATCGTCGCGACGCTTCGAACCTCCGAGGAACGGATCCTGGACACCAAATCCCTCCCCCAATGAACGTACGTGTTCATCCCGAATCGTCATTTGTTGACGGTCCCCGCGCTGTGCGTAAGAGCCCACTCCGTGAACACGAGAAGACTGCAAGTCTGGAAGAACAGACGTGGCATCACAATAAACGTTCGGAGGTCCGCGCAGACTTCCCGGATCGGCGCTGGAGCCCCACCCCTCCCCCCCTGGCGGGGCCGCAGGCGCCGCGCTTGGCGCGATATGATTCGACATGAACGGACCCCTAATAATTTTGGATGGGCCCTAAGTGAGGAGGGCCCGGAACATTAGTTTAGACGCCCGACATGGGTACCGAAAAAATGGGTACGATGCCCAACAACAATTACGCTACCGAGGAACCCCACATACTTATATTATGGCTGGAGTGATGAGAGCTGAAAGGAAGCACGTGAGAATGATGTTGGTGGCCGTTGCCCCGCCGATACCGCTGTGACCTGGACGACCGTCACGGATAGCGGCCGCAGTGAGAGACCACCCCCTGCGCACCCCCTATGGTGTCGAGAATATGCCATGCCTGCTGTGCCCTGGACGACCGTCACGGATAGCAGCCGCGGTGGGAGACCACCCCCTGCGCACCCCCTATGGTGTCGAGAATATGCCATGCCTGCTGTGCCCTGGACGACCGGCACGGATAGCGGCCGCGGTGAGAGACCACCCCCTGCGCACCCCCTATGGCGTCGAGAAGATGCCATGCCTGCTGTGCCCTGGACGACCGTCACGCATAGCGGCCGCGGTGAGAGACCACCCCCTGCGCA